TGACTGGCGGAACGGATGGGGGAGGGGGCGGGTACAGCTGGCTCTGCCTCTAGATAGGCAGAGGCAGCTGTCACTCACGAAAGCTGGGTGGATCCAGACATAATTGTTGGGATCCGTCCCGGCTGCGGCGTCTCAGTATATCGTGAGCTATATCTCGCCATACCCTGAGCTTTGGGTGACGGGAGGACGCTAGTTTGTGTCCTCCCGTTACCCTAAGGAGAACTATGGGGAAAAACACTGACCTCATAGTTCTCCTTTAATGGTGATTCCTCAGATTTTAGACCCGCAAGGGATGCCGTGGCAGTGTAAGGGTTAACAGTGATGTGGGGAGAGGTGGCAGAGAGTGTTGTCTCCACGCTGAGTCCGGCACGCAGGGAACTTTAATGTAACTGAAGAGAAAACAGTCAATTTGGTGATAGGTGGAGAGAAGAGTTCAGATTTGAACAGGAGACAGGAGACGTGTGAAATGGGGTCAGACGTTACACGGAGAGCAAGAGGAAGCCACGCTGCTGATTCCGGGGTCCTCTGTACGGGTGCCCTCTCCTCTATGTGTGCCCCGTGTACGTGTGCCCTCTTCCCTATGTGTGCCCCCTTTACGGGTGCCCTCTCCTCTATGGGTGCCCCGTGTACGTGTGTCCTCTCCCATATGTGTGGCCTCTGTGCAGTCTCCCATATGTGTGCCCCCTTTACAGGTTCCCTCTCCCCTATGTGTGCCCCCTGTACGGCTGCCCTCTCCTCTATGTGTGCCCCGTGTACGTGTGCCCTCTTCCCTATGTGTGCCCCCTTTACGGGTGCCCTCTCCTCTATGGGTGCCCCGTGTACGTGTGCCCTCTCCTCTATGTGTGCCCCGTGTACGTGTGCCCTCTTCCCTATGTGTGCCCCCTTTACGGGTGCCCTCTCCTCTATGGGTGCCCCGTGTACGTGTGTCCTCTCCCATATGTGTGGCCTCTGTGCAGTCTCCCATATGTGTGCCCCCTTTACAGGTGCCCTCTCCCCTATGTGTGCCCCCTGTACATGTGCCCTCTCCCCTATGTGTGCCCCCTTTCCTCTATATGTGCCCCCTGTACGGGTGCCCTCTCTATGTGTGCCCCCTTTACAGGTGTCCTCTCCCCTATGTGTGCCCCCTTTCCTCTATATGTGCCCCCTGTACGGGTGCCCTCTCTTCTATGTGTGCGCTCTTTTTTTTTATCAGATATTATTTATTTGTTTTTTCCTTTTCCTTTCCATACATTGTGAACATTGACAATAAAACCACAACTCAAAACAACTAACAAAACAAAAACCCAGAACCTAAGAACAACAACAGAACGATCCCTATCTGCAGTCCCTACTTTTCTATCTATCTTTATTCTATTTATTATTGCCCATTTCTTTCCTTTTCTTCCACTTATAATATTATTTTTTTTTCCTCTTAATCCAGGAGGTCCCAAGTCCGACTGATATTCATATTTTCAATCCACCTATTCCAAATTCCCTGAAATGTACCTAACTGGCCCCTCATCCTGTAAGTATGCTCTTTACAGGTGCCCTCTCCTCTACGGGTGCCCCCTGTACGAGTGCCCTCTCCTCTATGGGTGCCCTCTCCTCTATGGGTGCCCTCTCCTCTACGGGTGCCCCCTGTACGAGTGCCCTCTCCTCTATGGGTGCCCTCTCCTCTACGGGTGCCCCAGGGGGTTTCTGAAGGTCCGGGGCGGATTTCCTGTCACTAAATTAAGCTTTTAATATCATTTTAAAGCTTCAGAAATAAAACTAAATATTCAATCGTTTACCGCCACATGCGGGTCACTGGAGCCAGCCGTGCCGGGAAGAACTGCGCCACCCGATCCGCAATATATCGCCTCATAGGCTGTGACAATGTAACGGATCTGAAGAGCGAGTGGATGGAGAAGAGTCTTCAGGGGTGACATTCGTTCCCGGACCCTCGGATCCCCATCCCGGGACATACAGGAATAATCCATAGAATGTTCGGCAGGAAATCAGAAGATATTGTGTATGTAATGCCGGACGAGAAACAATCCCTGACACATTATAACCGGGGATTGTTCAATCGTACCACCGAGAGAACGGCGAGACGCCGCGCAGACTGATCACTGAGGGAGGGAGGGAGATGTAGGGAGGAAGGGAGGGGGGAGCATTTCTGGGAAATGGAGAGAAAGTGAAACTAAGTTATGAAGAAGATGTCAACCAACAAAAGATCTGGAGAAATAATATCTTTCTACGGCCACAGAAAGACAGAGAAGGGGATTTTAGGGGATTTTGAAAGATATGCATGCTGGGGGGAGAGAGAGAGATCAAAAGAAACAGAGTGAGAAGAGAGAGAGAAACAAAATAAGGTGTCAGAGAGATGAGACAGTGGGGAATAGAGGAGGAGGAGGAGTTTTTTTATCCGGTCAGTTTGGGGGAGATGAAGCAATATAAATACATTGACAGATAATCTTATTGTGAAGATGAAATATAAAAGTGGTAAACAATAGTAAATAGAAGGAACCGGATATACACAACGATGTGATAATTATTTATAAGCTTTAGAAGTCACCCGGCCCTGCACAGGAAGTGTCTCTCTCTATATATAATCGTATCATAATTATACAGAGATTACACACAGTCATACCTGACCCGCCACCTGTGACTTCTAGGACCGGTCGGGGTCCCCCATATAGAACCCGAACACACAGCAATGAAGGAGGAAGAGGTACTTACTGACATTCGACTCAGCGGAGCCCACCAGGGCCACCCCGAAGAGCGGAACCAGGATAACCACAAGCAGCATAGACTGCATCTCCGCGCTTCTCACTGACTTATGAGCCGCCTCTGTCCTCAGCTCCTTTATATAGGTCCCCGCTGCCGCCCAATCACATGCGAAGTTATGGGGCGCGTCATCGGTTTCTAGGTAGAGAAACGGTGGCGAGGTTGTGTAGCCCGATGTTTGCGGGGGATAAGGGTGATCGCTGTGCGCTGTGTACACGGAGACTGCAACAATGTATCCACAGGGATCAGGAGGGATCACCCCGCTGGAGCGGAAACTGTATCTATCTGTTCCATCAGCTATATTATTATTGCATCCACATTTCTCCATCCTCTGGAGGTTGCAACACAATGTTTACATCTGCTACACCTGACACAGGATGAGACCACCTTATATAACGACATGACTCAATATAAGATTGTGGCCAAGCTTCAGGTACATCTATTTCTATATCATCATCTATATAATCTATACAATCTATAGCTGTATAATCTAAATCTATATCATCTATATCATAATAGATATTATTCATTATACATATATCATATCACCTGACAGTGTAAGCTTCTATCACACAATAATGTCTCTGATTGGCTGTAGTTTGTAAGTTTCACCCATATTGTTTATATATAAAAGATCATAATAATGATACATATGAACTATTATTATATCACACAAACCTGTCCTCAGATCCAAAGCCTTCGTTCCCGCACAGTTATGATATACAGAAGTATTATATTATGATACATAGAAGTGTGATGTTATGATATACATGTAGAATCTAATGTGAAAGGGGGCTCCTGATGTTAAAGGGGAGTGCTGATGTGAAAGTGGGAACCCCACTTTTTTGTGCTTATGCACAGGGTCCCCCCTTAAAATCCATACCAGACCCCAATCTATAACAAGGGTCTGGTATGGATTTTTGGGGGCCACACTTCACACTTTACCTGTATGTGTTTTACATTGGGGGGCCTCTGCAGAAACATCGGTCTAAACTACACCCTATGGCCAAAACTATAAGGGGACTCGAAATGATTGAGGTCACATGTCCCCAGGGAAGGGTAATGGATACATCATAGAAAGACATTGTAGACAATTGGGATCTTCCAGCCTTGTGGTCACAGCAGTTTGGTGAAGACCCTTTCCTGTTCCCCCCATGACTGTCCCCTGTGTACAAAACCAACTCCATACAGACACGGGGTGACCAGATTGGTGGAGGAACTCCACTGTCCTGACCTCAATCCGACTAAACCTAATGCAGCCGCCACATCTATGAGCTGGGAAGCTGCAACATGTTACATTTTTGTGTTCAGGTTTAGACATCATTTAGGGGCACAGTCAGGTTCTTCTTGCTGTTTTTGCACTGTTGGGGAGATTTCCTTTCACTTCCTGTCTCTGAGACACAGCAGGAAGTATGAGGAGATTTCTTCAAAGAACGAGTCTATCCTCTCTGAGACAGATGACCCCGTTGGGTGATTTCCCCTCTAGTCCTGTTCTGGTGACAACTCAAAATGTTTGGCTTTCCCAGCACTTCCTGTTCCGGAGGCAATGGTGACAAGGACAAACAGAGGGGTGAATGTCACCAATGAGGAACGGGGGCAGCAATAAAAACCTGGCTGGGGGTCTAATCCTCCCCCGATCCACCAAAAACTAAAAAGGCTTTAGCTTCGTATACACGTCACATGGTATATGGAGGAGGCCGCTCTGCCTTATCTGTCCTCCACAGCCGTCCCTCTGTCAGTCCTGGCACCCAGATCCCCCGAAATTCCATTGATAAGGCCATCACTGGGCTGCTTCTACTTCACTGTCCAATCAGAGGCTGGGGGCGGGTCCATGACAGTCTGGAGGACTAAGAGGAGGTGGGCAACACAGACACTACCCCTCTGCCCTGAATGGGGAACACAGACACTACCCCTCTGTCCTGAATGGGGAACACAGACACTACGCCTCTGCACTGAATGGGGAACACAGACACTACCCCTCTGCCCTGACTGGGGAACACAGACACTACCCCTCTGTCCTGAATGGGGAACACAGACACTACCCTTCTGCCCTGAATGGGGAACACAGACACTACCCCTCTGCCCTGAATGGGGAACACAGACACTACGCCTCTGCACTGAATGGGGAACACAGACACTACCCCTCTGCCCTGACTGGGGAACACAGACACTACCCCTCTGTCCTGAATGGGGAACACAGATACTACCCCTCTGTCCTGAACGGGGAACACAGACACTACGCCTCTGTCCTGAACTGGGAACACAGACACTACCCTTCTGTCCTGAATGGGGAACACAGATACTACCCCTCTGTCCTGAATGGGGAACACAGACACTACCCCTCTGTCCTGACTGGGGAACACAGACACTACCCCTCTGTCCTGACTGGGGAACACAGACACTACCCCTCTGTCCTGACTGGGGAACACAGACACTACCCCTCTGTCCTGACTGGGGAACACAGACACTACCCCTCTGTCCTGACTGGGGAACACAGACACTACCCCTCTGTCCTGACTGGGGAACACAGACACTACCCCTCTGTCCTGACTGGGGAACACAGACACTACCCCTCTGTCCTGACTGGGGAACACAGACACTACCCCTCTGTCCTGACTGGGGAACACAGACACTACCCCTCTGTCCTGACTGGGGAACACAGACACTACCCCTCTGTCCTGACTGGGGAACACAGACACTACCCCTCTGTCCTGACTGGGGAACACAGACACTACCCCTCTGTCCTGACTGGGGAACACAGACACTACCCCTCTGTCCTGACTGGGGAACACAGACACTACCCCTCTGTCCTGACTGGGGAACACAGACACTACCCCTCTGTCCTGACTGGGGAACACAGACACTACCCCTCTGTCCTGACTGGGGAACACAGACACTACCCCTCTGTCCTGACTGGGGAACACAGACACTACCCCTCTGTCCTGACTGGGGAACACAGACACTACCCCTCTGTCCTGACTGGGGAACACAGACACTACCCCTCTGTCCTGACTGGGGAACACAGACACTACCCCTCTGTCCTGACTGGGGAACACAGACACTACCCCTCTGTCCTGACTGGGGAACACAGACACTACCCCTCTGTCCTGACTGGGGAACACAGACACTACCCCTCTGTCCTGACTGGGGAACACAGACACTACCCCTCTGTCCTGACTGGGGAACACAGACACTACCCCTCTGTCCTGACTGGGGAACACAGACACTACCCCTCTGTCCTGACTGGGGAACACAGACACTACCCCTCTGTCCTGACTGGGGAACACAGACACTACCCCTCTGTCCTGACTGGGGAACACAGACACTACCCCTCTGTCCTGACTGGGGAACACAGACACTACCCCTCTGTCCTGACTGGGGAACACAGACACTACCCCTCTGTCCTGACTGGGGAACACAGACACTACCCCTCTGCCCTGAATGGGGAGCACAGACACTACCCCTCCCTCAGTCCTCAGTGTTGGGGTTAGGGTGGGTGGGTGAAGGTCAGATGATGATGGCCTGGGCTCATCACTCCCCTCCCCCCTCCATATAACACTATGTGTGGTCTGATGTGATGTGTAGTCCTCAGGTTTGTAGTTTGGGCCTCGTGTTGGTATGACTCTGTAGTTTGCGGTACTTTCACTTTCCCTCTGGCTGGGTGTGACCGGCCGCCGTGCAGACAAACAACGCGCGGAAAGTCCCTGATACATTCTAGAACGCGCCGTGTCACCGCCGGGAGCGTCTGCAATAGAAACTGTCCGCACTGCCTCCAATGCTTCTCTTAAAGGGGAAGGATCACTTTATTTTCATAGTAGGAGCCGGGGCGGTGACATCATAGACTTTCCATCCCCTGATATCTCTGATTCACTCATACACCCAGACACATGTATCCAATGTTATCTACGAGCGGGCGGCCATATTTGCTGATTGTGCACGCAGGTTGTGTGTTAGTAACGCAGCGCAGGCTTGCACGTAACTGCTCAGACTAGAAGAAGGAGGAGGGACAGCAGGGGGAGCTGACAATGAACAGGCTGATAGGAGGGGAGATCAGAGTGAGCAGAGAGTGGACCTCTTCAGTCTGTGGCTGCTCTTTCACTGTATAGTCAGCAGGCTGGGTGGAGAGAGGACACCATTGTGTCCCTTATACATTCAGCAGCACTCAGACTGGAGGAAGGAGGGGCAGAAAGGGGGAGCCTATCAGGTGTTGACAAGGAACATGCTAATAGGAGGAGAGATCAGAGAGATGACCTCAGCAGTCTGTGTGCTGCTCTTTAGCTGTGTAGTCAGCAGGCTGGACGGAGAGAGGACACCATTGTGTCTCACCTTATACATTCTATAACTGTAATAGAGAACGTGTAATCATCTTCCTGGCTGTGCTGAGTGGCAGAGCTGTGTAAATCTCAGGACTGGATAGACACACATACAAACCCATTGGCAGCTGCGCCCGCTGACACAGACAGATCTCATTGTGTGCAGCGTTACCTGGAGCTCAGCAACATAATATAACAATGTATCCGCTATCATCGTCCTCAGCTGCTCTCTGGCGCCATCTCTGGCTGAATGTGGAACAGCGGCGGCGTGACTCACCAGAACCTGGAGGTCACATGATTTATTATAAGCTGCCATGGACGCCTTCCGTGTTTCAGGTCCCCCCGCGTCCTACAAGTCTCATCAGCCTCCATTACCGTCCCAGCGTTCCCCGTCACATGATCTCCGTGCTTCCTGTACACATATGTGTGGAATCAGAGATCCGACTTCCGTGTTTTATTTTACTTTTATAAATAATAAATTTCTGATATGAAAAGATTATAAAATGTAATTTTATTCCTTCTACAGCCCCTAAATCCCCCAAATTATCGCCCTTCCTGTCGTATCTATGAAATCCCCGTTATCAGCGTGACAAGCTGACCTCCGTCCTCCCCTTCAGTCTCGCACAGTTGTACCGGCTTCTCTGATGTCACTGCACACTGGGAGTGTCTCACAATGTGCATTAGAAGTTGCAGCAAGTCAGATAGAGAT